CTACAGCAAACACATTTTAAGTGTGCAGGATATTCCTTTTGGTTGATCCAAAAGTTTGACCTAGCTAGGTTGGAAAGGTTTCTACTCATATCAGAGTTAACTTGGTCCTAGGGCCACAAATCTCCAGTTGACATCTGGTCTCATGATATATACTTAGTTCCAAAGTTCTGGTGAAACCATGGGCACCTTTCCCAGGTTCCTTGTCCTGGCTTTTGTCTCTTCCTTGAGGAGGTGCCAACTTACCACTTATTTCCCCAGAGCTACTCCCTTTGTAACCAGAGCCAACAGAGGTTCTCACTCTGCCATGCCCAACTCTTCCATCGGCCCCAATTTCTACTTTCAGGAATACATATTTTTCGTGTGTGTGTGTGTGTGTGTGTGTGTATGTGTGTGTGTACATTTTAACAAAGTAACTGGAAGGGAGGCAGAACTTGAACATGAACCCAGAAGAGGCCTTCTTCCCTTTCAGACAATGGATAGTTCCATATGGCCCAATGGGCGAGCCCCACCTCAACCATTTAATTCCCTAAACAAGCATATAAGACACACATACACACAAAACGTAATAAGGGCTTAGAGACAAACAGCATCAACCCAAAGAGTCTCTTTCCTTCAGAGCGGTACCCTTTACTCTGGCAGGCCACGGCAAAGACATATGGGGACCCTGGGATTTTTCCTTTCAGTTTTTTGTGTCTTCAGGAACCACCCCCAGAGGCCCCATGGAGACAGATGGGGCACAGCGTTCCATCCAGGTTTACCCAGTTTTCCCAGGCAGAGGAGTGTGCTGAGGCCGCAGGCAAGAGAGGAGGCCCAAGACAGAGGAAGGACAGGGTGTTGCTTTCTCAACTTGTTGAGACCAAAATTGTGTAGCAAGACGAGCTGAAGCATGCTCAGCATTTCTCCTTCCTGACTTGGGTTTCACCTCGGCCCCAGTTCAGTGGCAGCCCTCTTGGCTCAGAGGGCTGAGGGATCCCAGAGGAGGAAGCTTGTACAATCCTCATCTAGCAGGGTGGGGGTGGGGTGGGGTTTTATAGTAAGCTTCTAACGAAGGCTGAGTCAGTTATATTGCTCCAAGTCTGGAGTTGGCTTCTCTTGTTCCTCTACCCTACTCACCTTGCCCTCTGATCACACCAAATTTCTAATCACCCCTGACCATGACAGGCATGACTGCTGAACAGATTCATGGGTAGTGCACCATACAGTTCCTAGAGGTGCCATTCCCACAGACAAAGAGTGAACAGTGCCTCTGAGAATCATGTACAACTGTACCAGGCAGCCCTGAGCCAAGATGTTTTATGACTTTCTTCCTTCCCATATATTGCACCCTCTGCCAAGAACACCCTTGTTTGCCTTTCTTCCATTCATCTCTTCATCTGGTGAACCATCCAACAGTCAGCTTTCCAACTCTCAAACAGTGTTGAGGAACACATAGGTAACAACGGAATGCTTTTGGAAGTGCTCAAAGCCATTGAGAAAAAAACACCTTAATACAAGCGTCTCAAACCAGCACACTGTTAACTCCTTCTGCCTAGTAGTTTTATTATACCTGTGGGGTTTTATGAAAGGCAATATAAGTAAAATTTATCAAATGGATAAAATGAAAAAGACATAATAGCAAGTGTTGGTGAAGATATAGAACAACAGATATGGAACTCAGATACAATGCCAATGGGAATGTAAATTGGAATAACGACCATGGGAAGATGCATCTATTCAAGTAGGAGAGAAGCCTAGCCTAGGATTCAGCAGTTCTATTCCTAGAAATACAAACAGATAACACACAAAAAACCTGAGCAAACATGATCATAGCAACACTATTCATAATAGCCCCACACTGGAAACAAGTCAAATGCTATCAACAGCAAAACAGATGAATAATATGGTATATTCATAAAATGTAATGCTATACAGCAATTAAAAGAAATGAATTAATGCCCTAACCAGTTTGACTCAGTGGATAGAATGTCAACCTGCGGATTCACGGGTCCCAGGTTTGATTCCAGTTAAGGGCATGTACCTTGGTTGTGGGCACATTCCCAGTAGGGGGTGTGCAGGAGGCAGCTGATTGATGTTCCTCTCTCACCCATGTTTCTAACTCTCTCTTCTTCTCCCTTCCTCTCCCTAAAAAATCAATAAAATATATTTTTTAAAAATAAATGAATTATTGCTTCACAATAAAATGGATAATTCTGACAAACACAATGCTGAGTGAAAGAAGCCAAACATAAAAGTATACACACTACATGATTTTATTTATATAAAATTCAAAAACAGACACTATAGTGTTAGAAATTACAATGGCCTTAGCCAGTGTGGCTCAGTTGGCTGGAGCATCAATCCATATACCCAAAGGTGGTGAGTTTGGTCAGGGCATGTACCCAAGATGTGAGTTTGATCTCCAGTCAGGGCATGTACAGGAAGCAGCCAACTGATGTTTCTCTCTTCCATCTATGTTTCTCTCTCTCTTTAAAAAAAAAAAAAAAATCAATAAAAAATACATCTTTGGGTGAAGATTAAAAAACAACAAATGCACAGAACATTAGTTAGCTGATACAGCCCTAAGCCTACATACATGTACCTGGAGTCCCAGAAAAGGGGTGGGGTGAAGCAGAAGCCAGAAAAAAAATATTTGAAAAAATACTGGTTGAAAAATTTTCCAAATTTGATAAAAACTATAAACTCACATGTCAAAGAAGCTCAACAAGCCCCAAACAGAAAAGCATAAAGAAAACTTCACCAAGGCACCTCATAATCAAATTGCTGAAGAAAACTAATGATAAGAAAATGTTAAAAGCAGCCAGAAGGAAAAAAAAACAAAACAGATTATGTGCAGAGGAACAAAGATAAGGATGCTAGCAAACATCTTGGACACAATGCAAACCATAAAAAATGTGGAGAAACATCTTTAAAACACTGAAAAAAAAACTGCCAACAAAAACAAAATATCTTTCAAAAATTAAGTTGAAATAGACTTTCAGAAATACGAAACTGAAACTCTGCTTTTGGATGTGTTAAAGACTATACTGCACAACTCTTGCCTGCAGAAAACAGTCATAAAAACCTGGGTTTAATACAAAAGGAACTACCTAAAGATACTAAATAAAGAATAGAATTGGACAGTCTACCCACCTCTTGGACTGTCCTTGCTGAAGGGATAAACAATCTATGGTATGCCCATGCAATGGAACACTACTCAGCAATTGAAGGGAACAGACTATATACAATATGGATGAATTTTACAAGCTTTATGCTGAGAGAAAGAAGCCAGACACAAGACCCTGTAATGTATGGTTCCATTTATATAAAATTCTGGAAAAGGAAAAGCAACAGTGATAAAAAGTAGATCAGTAGTTGCAAGAGCCAGAAGTTGGAGGGGGGAAATTGACTGCTTAAGGGCCATGAGGGAAATATTTGGTATAACAGAGATACTCTGTATCATGATTGTGGCAGTGGCTGCATTTGTGAAACTCACTGAATTGTGTACTAATAGGTGGTAAAATTTATTGTGTCTAAGTTACATCTCAATAAAGCTGACCAAATAAAATAAAGGCTCTCTTTACACACACAGACTAACTGCTTGTCTCCTCTCTGCCTCCAGCATGCATGAGTTTACAATCCCTGACTAGTATTTTACGTCTTCAAAGCTTTTCATAGCCTTTAACGTGCTAGCTGAGATTTGGAAACATGAGAATTGGCCTTTCAGAATTGGTCTTCTTGAACCCCAAGAGACAGCAGAAGGTACACAACCTGTTAAGATGTAAAAAGAGGGGTGGGGCATGTAGCACAAGGCCCAGGCTTCTACTAGCTTCTGCACATTAGGAAAAATGTCTCCATCCTTAAGGAAAAACCATTGTCAGTATATTTTTTTGCACAGCCTTACAGTGGCATATGCTGGCTCGGTTCCTTGGTTGATTCAGACAGCATTCTAAGAACATCTATGGTTAGACCCAGGCATACTCACACCCTGCTTTCTTACACAGCCCACTGCCACTTCACACTTCCCCCAGCCTCCTAGGTGAACTATGTCAAGTTTAGAGTTGGGGGAGGGGGAGTGTGAGAAGTTGGGCCTCTGAGAGGAATAGGTGGTAACAGACAGACCTCAATTACACCACAGTGCCTTTGAGACAGGCATGGCTGTGCACTGGCTGTGAGTGCGTGCAAGCATTTGCTCTCAAGTCTGTGCATAGCTGTGTGTGCTAGTGGGGGTTTCCATAGAGGGGTGCTGCTCCAGCCAGGAGGCCTAGCATGCTTCCCTACTTTCACTCAAGTTGGTAGTGTATGCTGCCTCCTTCAGTGTTCCTGGTGGCCCTGGGTAAGGATCCCTAAAACCTCTCTTCTTTCTAAGGAGAAACTCCTACCAGTCACCTGAGAAAAGGCAAGAGGTGGAGTTGTCAAATCTCCTTTCTTTCCATACCTTCCCAAATGAGACATTATATCAGAAATGTCTCAGGTATCCATGCCAACTTCTCTACACAGTACTAGCAGGACCTGGGACGGGGTTGGGGAAAGGCAGCAGAGGGAGCCTTCTCTGCCCTTCATACTTGACCACCCAGAAGTCTCCTTCCTCCCTCTGACATCTTCTCTCTCATGTAGCACAGATGTCAGTCTTTGTACTCCACATTGGAGCCAATAAATGACAGGAGACCTTGGTCTGGTGTGGCCCCCTTCCAGGATGTTCTCTTTTCAGTCTTGCAGATCTCAAAGAAGGAATTGCATTCTTACACTTTAGTATTCAGATGCTCATCTTTCCATTACATCTTGTTCCTTCTTTTAAAAAATATATTTTTATTGATTTCTAAGAGGAAGGGAGATAGAGAAAGAGATAAAAACATCAGTGATGACAGAGAATCATTGAATGGCCGCCTCCTGCATACCCCACAATGGGGCTCAAGCCCACAACCAGGGCGTGCGCCCTGACTGGGAATTGAACTATGACCGCCCCATTCATAGATTGATGCTCAACCACTGAGCCATGCCAGCTGGGCTTTTTTTTTCTTTTCAAACAAGTACATGTTGAGCAACTATGCTGCCATGTACTGGCTAGGCACCAGGGATATTTCAGTGAACAACAACAACAAGAACAACAAATATATATATTCGTGCCTATCACATTCAGTTTTTAAAGTCAACTTAAGTACAATTGCCTTTATCAAATACTTTTTCCTCCCTATCTTTACTGTCAAAGTAAATCTTTGCCCTTCAAATCTAAGCTCAAATAGCAAAGAGACTAGAAGGTTCACACCACCGAATAGTTATCAGTGGTATCTGTATGGGTGGCTTTAATTGCCTTTTGTTTCTGTATTTTCTGAAGTTCCAATGTTTGTCATTACTGTAAGAAACAACCACCTCAGTTTAAATATTGCCTCCGCAGGGGCACTCCCCCTGACTACCCCTCTCTCCAGTATGACTTAGGGGTTCCTCTTCTGTACACACAGCACCCTACACTTTCCTCTCTCCCAGACATTGATGAAGCACAGGAACCATGAATGTGTGCATCCTCTCTCGGACTGTGAACTAGAGTGGAGGGCAGGGGATATGTCTTATTCATTTCTGAATTCCCAGCTCCTAACCAGAGGCATGGTGTTAAGAGTTGTGTTGAATGAATAAATGGGTGAGGTTATCAAGTCCTGGCCTCAGAAATGAGGCTGAGGTCCAGAGACCAGACATTTGGTGGTAAGTGTAGAAACTGAAACACATTCTCTCAGAGTCTGGGTCAGACTAGAGGGGAAATTTGATGCTGAATCCTTTGAGACTAGGCTAACGTTTAAGTCTTCCTGGTGAAGGTGAGAGGGGGAGGTTTGCAGAACCTGGGATACAGCTGAGCCTGTAGAAAGGAATTCAGAAACCTTAGGTGCGAAATATCACAATTTGAAATTACCTATTGATTTTTTTAAAAAAATATGTTTTATTGATTTTTTTACAGAGAGGAGGAGAGAGGGATAGAGAGCTAGAAACGTCGATGAGAGAGAAACATCGACCAGCTGCCTCTTGCACACCCCCTACTGGGGGTGTGCCCGAAACCAATGTACATGCCCTTGACCGGAATCGAACCTGGGACCTTTCAGTACGCAGACCGACGCTCTACCACTGAGCCAAACTGGTTTCGGCTGAAATTACCTATTGATTTTTGTTGTTATTGTCACCTCTCATTAGCGTGGGCACTCCATGAACACAGGGATCTTAATCTGACTCGAACCACAAGGGCTCGGACCGATGCCTGGCACGTAGATGGCACTCAGTAAATATTTGTTGAATTGATGTTGAATGAATTAGCTTACTCTAAACCAAACCCATGAAAGAGAGGCCAGATGCAGCATTATTCATTCATCCAGCAGAATATAATTGACAATAGGCCCAAAGAAAGCCCAGTCAGCACATTTTTTACCCTGTGGGAAGGCGTACTTCAGAAGCCACAAGCAGATTTGAGAGCTGTTTGGTAAATACAGAGTTGGACTAAGGGGACTTGGAAGATCTTAAGAGACTGTGTCACTGAGCTGTGGCACCCTGATGAGTCATGCTTTCCCACACGGGAACAGACGTCCCTTGCCAAACAGGATCCTGCCTTGCCCAATGCTGCCTTCTCTTTCCTGTCACTGTGGGAGAGACACTGACAGTCTGTCCTCTCTCTTTCTCCCCTCTCTGTGCTTCCTATGGGTCATAGTGCTTCAGTCCTTTAGGCTTGACATCGAGTCACATCACATTGTGTCCCTTATTGGTTATATTTTCCATTGTGACTTCCCAATGGAAAATGGGAACAATTTGGGCACTATTTTACATACACTGCTAAAGATAAACAATTCTAGATTCCCAGATCAAAACCTTCCACTTGTCTGAGTTGAAGTCTCTCAGTGTCACTGTACCTCCATTTCCCTATGTTTAGAAGATGAAATACTATAACTTTTCCATGTATCCCACACAGCTGTTAAGCCAAAGAAACTGAAGATTATGAAAGTGAGTTGCTCAGAAGTTGTGCTTTGACCTTTATAATTAAAATTCCATTTCAGATTTGCCAGTAATGAGTTTCATCATAATAAGTAAGTCATTTTGTGAGATACTTAGCCCACTGTTTTGTTCTTAATCAGCCTTCAGGAAATATTTATTATCACATGAACTGAGACACCTCCCCACTTTCCCAAAGAACATGCTTGAGGGAAAAGGTCAGTTGCTGTTCAGGTAGCTATTGTGTTTTTGTTTTGTTGAGTTTGCTATATAGCTTGAATGATTTGGGGGGAAAAAGAGGGAATGTCAGAAGTAGCAGGAAGAATGAAGAGACCTGGCAATATGGGTACAAGGGAGAAAACTTTTGGAGGAAAAACAGGTATAACTCGATGTTAAGCCTAGTCAGATGGACGGATCTAATTAAGTATTGCTTTATGATCTGTGATGTAACTCTCTTCTCCATCTTCCCATGAGGCCTACAGTAAAATCTCATTAGTCATAAATACTGCTGCATTTGAATGTATTGGGGGGATGCAAACAAAGTGCTCAGCCTGGCCTTGATGGGTACAGGGTATAAGCTGATAATCCAATCATCCCCTGGTTATATTATCACTGTAAAAATAAGAGGGTGAATTATGTGACCATATGGCTCTCTAAAGCTTAGTGGTCTATGATTCTATATATCGAAGATATAGACTATCACCAGGAAATTCTTTTATTTATATATTTAGTTAGTTAGTTCTGAGAGTGTGTGTGTGGGGGAGGGGAGTTTGAGGGGAGAGAGGGAGAGAGATAGAGATAGAGAGAGAGAGAGAGAGAGAGAGAGAGAGAGAGAATAAACATCAACTTGTTCTAATTCTGTATGGATTCACTGGTTGACTCTTATATGTGTGTTGATGGAAGACAGAACCCACAACCTTTGGATATATTAGGAGAATGCTCTAACCAACTGAGCTACCTGGCCAGGAATGCCAGGAAATTCTGATGCAGTGGGTTGGGGTGGAGCTTGTAAATTCTCATGAAAAAATGTTTCCCGGATTATTATGATGCACACAAACATGTTGGCATCATTTTACACATACTCATCATATTTTACAATCAAATGTTTAATCACCCACAGAAAAAAAATCACCCTCCTCCTCAATCTCCAGAATGCAACACTGCTGACAAAAACAATTGGGTGTGCTCAGAGTATATAAATTCACATTAATATTGTTCTAAATAAAAACATGTTTATAAAAATATAGTTGTATCAGTAGGGGAAAGAATGCAACAAATGGTGCCAGATGCAAAATAAATAAATAAATAAATAAATAAATAAATAAATAAAATGAAGTTGAACCCCTCCCTCATACCATATTAAAAGATTAACCAAAATGGATTATAAACTTAAATGTAGGAGCTAAAACCATAAAGCTCTTAAAAAGGCAAAACAGGAGTAGTTCTTCTTAACCTTGGATTAGGCAGTGGTTTTTTAGAGATGATCCCAAAAACACAAGTGAGAGAGAAATAAAAAAGGTAAGTTAGACTCTGTTAAAATCTAAAACTTTTGTGTTTCAGTGGACACCATCAAGAAACTGAAAAGAAACCACACAGAATTGGAGGAAATATTTGCAAATCATATATCTGATAAGGGACTTGTATCAAGAATACATAAATAACTCTTACAAATTAAAAAGACAACCCAATTCAAAACCAGGTAAAGAATTTGAATATACATTTCTCAATAGAAGATACACATAAGACAATAAGCATATGAAAGATGCTCAAGATTATCAATATTAGGAAAATGCAAATTAAAACTACTAGGATAGCTAAAATAAAAAAGACAGCTGGGACCGGTTTGGCTCAATGGATAGAGCGTCAGCTTGGGGACTGAAGGGCCCCGGGTTCGATTCCGGTTAAGGGTATGTACCTTGGTTTCGGGCATATCCCCAGTGGGGGGTGTGCAAGAGGCAGCTGATTGATGACTCTCTCTCACTGATGTTTCGAACTCTCTATCTCTCTCCCTTCCACTCTGTACAAAAATCAATAAAATATATTTAAAAAAAAATAAAAAATAAAAATATAAAAAAGACAGACAATAACATGTGTTGCTGAGAATGTGGAGAAACTAAAACTCTTAAACACTGCTAGTAGGAATTTAAAATGGTATAGCTACTTTGGAAAATAGTTTGACAGATCCTCAAAAAGTTAAACATGAAGTTACTATATAGTTCAGCAATTCTATTCCTAGGTATGTAACAAAGATAACTGGAACATATGTCCACACAACAACTGGTATATAAGTGTTCACAGCAGCATAATTTATAATAACAAAAAGTAGAAACAACATAAATGTACACCATTCATGCATATATAAACAAAATATGATAAAGCTATAGAATGAAATATTGTCCATTCATAAAAGGAATGAGGTACAAATTTATACCAAAACATGCAAAACCTTGAAAACATTATGCTAAGTGAAAGAAGGCAATCACAAAAGACCACATATTGTATGCTTCCATTTATATAAAATGTCCAGAATAGGCAAATTCAGAGACAGAAAGTGGATTAGTGGTTGGTTACTAGGGGTTAAAGGAAGGTGGGGGAATGGAGTTTGGGGAGTGATGGTTATGGATACAGTTTCTTTTGGGGACATGAAAATATTCTAAAATAAGATGGTGGTAATAGTTGCACAATTCTGTGACTATACAAAACACCACTAGATTGTATACTTAAGTGAATTTTGGATGTCTGAATTATATCTCAATAAAGTTGTTATAAAAATAATGTTGTATATAAAATATGATCATACAAAAATTATTATATAAAATAGAACATTTTAAATTATGCATTGCTCAGCCAATTACATACACACACTGTGTTAGTCAGGACTTCTTTTGCAAGTGACAGAAATTTAGCTTAAACTGGATTAAGAAAATAATAGAATGTATTGGCTCACATAGCCAAAAATTATAGGGGTTATTGGCATTAGGTGTAGCTAAATCTGGAGGCTCAAATGATGTAATTCCAGGATCCCTTTCTTTCCATTTCTCAGCTCTACTTTCCTCTGTGTTGGCCTCGTTCTCAGGCAGACTCCATCCAAGTGGTGACAAGATGGCCACCAATGTCTACAGGATTACAACCTTCCAATTTAGCAGGGAAAGAAAAAGCCTTTCCCAACAAAAATCCAGGAGTAGACTTTGACTGTCATGGACTAGCTCATGTGTATGGCCAGGGATGTGTGACTGGGCTGGTATTATGGTAAGGGACAAATTATAGTGAGTTATTGTTGATGCTATACATGCCCAAATTGGATTTTTTAAAGCATGTGACCTTTGGGTGTTTTGGAAGAGAAAGATGAATACTTGGAACCGATTTTAATTCACTTAGAACAAATGGATTCAACTCTTAACAAATAGATTGCAAAAGTGGCAGGAAATGATAATGCTTGAAATTTGGCATTTCTATTTTTGCAAGGTACTAGACAAGTCTTTCATGGTATCCTTGTAAACAAAGACTGGAGAACTGAGGTAGGTGGAGTTATGGTTCACTGATCAGCCATTTCCAAAGAGGACTGACTAGTGGTGGTGACCCATAGAGATCTGCTCTTAGCTCTGACCTGGTTGACCTGTTTATTAACTAGTTAGAGATAGGTACAGAAATCATATTTATTAGATGGAGAGAGAGTACAGGGCTAAGAGCAGTTAATATGCTGGATGACAGAGGCAAGATACAAAATAGTTTTAGTTTTAGGTAGTTTCAAACATTCACAAATTTGGATGTTATATATAAGAAACCCCATGCGCCAATCATCCAGCTTCAGCAATTTTCGACTCACAGCCAATCTTGTTTCTTCTACACCCCCATGAACCTCCCTTCCCTCATTTTGTTTTGAAGCAAATCTCAGGCATCCTACAAGCTAAAAACAAACTCTAACACTATTATCACACCCAAAAAGAAACTTCAATAATTTCTTAGCATCATCAAATATCAATTTCCAAATTTCCAATTGTCTCATAAATATACATTTTGTACAGTTTTTTTGTTTGTTTAAATCAGGATACAAACAAAACTATCACATTGCAATTGGTTGATATGTCATTAAGCTTCTTTCATTCTTTTAAAATGTATTTTTATTTCAGAGAGGAAGGGGGAGGGAGAGAGAAACATCAATGATGAGAGAGAATAATTGATCAGCTACTTCCTGCATGTCCCCCACTGGGGACTGAGCCTGTGCCCTGACTGGGAATTGAACCATGACCTCCTGGTTCATAGGCCAACACTCAACCACTGAGCTATGCTGGTTGGACTTTTTCATTCTAAAAGTTTCCCTCTGACACTTTTCCCCTTACACTTTATCTGATAAAAAACAAAAATTGTAATCTTGATAACAAAGTGATATTTAGTAGAGATAAATAGATGTCATATTCAAGTTGAGCTTATAAAATCAGCTGTCACAGAACAAAATAACATCTGGGAGACACCTGCAGTTTGTGAATAAAGGTCTACAATTTCTATCAATAGTTGGCCACAAACCTAAAAGAGCAACGTTAGGACATAGTTGCCCAAGTGCTAATATGTACTTAGGTCACAAGAACTCCAGGGCATATGCACACCATGGGAAGCAGTGGTCTTTTCTGCCATATCAGGTCAAATCATTCCTGGAGTACTGTCCTGAGTGTGGCTCCCAACCCGATTTTCACAGGGACTAAAAAACTGGCATGCTTACACAAGGCCCTGGTCCTGGTAAGAGAGCTGTGACACCCTT